CTTCTTGCAGTTTCAATACCTGATCGAACCTGTTGAACCCACCTGCAAGCTTCACCATCCCAGCGCTGACGTTGACCTGGAAGGCCTCCCAAGCCGACGCCACGGTGGACTGCAGCGTCAGCATCGCGTCCTCCAGCCTGGCATCCCACTTCTCCACGTACGCCTCCGACGCCGCCACCTCGCCCTCGAGGCCGCCGATCTCGTCGTCCCTGTCGGCCAGCTGTTGCTGCACGCTCCGGACCTCGTCCTCCCTGGCACCAAGCAGGGCGCGCAGCGACTGGATCTCCAGGTCGCGGGACCGAATCTCCTCCTCCTTTGCCTTCATCTTGTCCCCGAAGGACACCCACGGCGAGAACTCGTAGAACGTGGTGTACCGCGCGTCCTGGGAGAACACGACCGCCACGTCGGCCACTTCCGAGCCGGCGCCGAACGAGAAGACGCGGCGCTGGTCGGGCACGTAACGGAACCACACGGTGTCGGGCTGGTCCGGAGGGAAGACCGGCTGGAAGAGGGTGCAGGCGAGTGCGTCGGAGGTGTCCTCGTTGGGGGACTCGGCGACGCCGGCGACTAAGTCCATGACCAAACGCCTGTGATGGACAGGACGCAAGAATAAGTTGTTCTCGCCGGAGCGAAGGTGGACCAAGGAGGCCGGGTCTCTGGTTGAAGGGACGACCTCCAGCTTGACGAAGGGGCTGACCTCATCAACCACCCCTCTCGTCCCCATGAACTTGTAGAACTCCGCGAACTCTTGGCTCCACAGGTAGCGCAGGTACTTGTCGTCGCTCTTTGATCGGAGCTTCACAAAACGCGGCAATCCGGCTACTGTCTCCGTCGTCGCCATGATCAGTTGCACTGAATGGATGTTTGTTTGGTTTCTCGTTTTGTTGGGTTTGGGTTTAGCTTAGGCTTAGCATGCCCCATCATATTTGCAGGACTATGGTTTTATATACATCAAAGATACGTACGTATAAGCGGGCTAATAAAGGCTGCACGACAGTTGCACCTACTTTTGTCATTCATTTGTAACTCACTATATTTTTATTTTCCATTGTTATATTACTATATATAAACCTCATGTCATTTTATTGTTGCCTAATAGTTCTGCTAATATAAACTGCTGTCGTTCAATGTTGAAACAATTAAAGGAATATACTTAACAAAAACACTCGGCAAACTGAGGGAGGGACAAAGATTTTAGGTATTACATGATAATAAAAAAGACATCGAAGACATATTTAATTAGAATTAATTTTTCAATTTGAATTAACGAGATAAATGAAATTGTGAATCAATTATAATACTGGATTGATTCTTGGATTTGGTTAGTCAACTATGGACTAGCCGGTTGTTTGTGATTGGTCATGGAACTGCTAAAATCGCCCCGATTTAAGTGGTTCACTGGTTCAATGTTGTCCAAAAAAGCTTGACCACTAAAAAAATATTATGAGAGGCACAAATTTTTAATTAGAACTAGCTAGCGAGATCGTTTCTTGGATCGATCAACGATGGACTAGCCGGTTGTTTGTGACTAGGCTTTGAACTGCAAAAATCGCTATGACTTAAGCAATTCATTGGTTCAGTGTTGTTTTCTAACTTAACTACTATAAAAATATTAGGATTTTGCTACGGTGACATGACATGGACTTTTCGGTCGACCTAATCCACAAGGCGGTCGACCGAATTGACAAATTCAGTTATGTGAGGTTCAGAGACGCGGTCGACCTCTTTGGTGGTATAACAGAATGAAAGGTCGACCCAAATACCTCAAAGGCCGACCCTTGTGCACCTATCAGGTCGACCTCATTAGTAAGAGGTCGACCGCATGCACACCGTATCCGTATTGGATAAGGATTCCAACAGCAGAAAGGTTCCACAATTGGACAAGAAAACGAATTGGGTCGACCCATTCACGTCCTAAATCTCTATAAATACGAATATAAGTCCCCTTCAACGCCACCAAAAGTCTGAATTAGGTTTTTTTCGATTTAGAGCCTTTGTGAAGAAGATTGTTCGGGGTTGCTATTATACGTGTCGAAAGTGGTCGACCACGTCTAAGGTGAGGTCGACCTAATGTAGCATTCACCGTCATCTTCTCTAATGCGTGATTTCCACCGAAAATAACAACTTAAACTAAGTGCGGTCGACCAGGTGGTCGTTGAGTTCGACCGCAATGCTTTCTCGTGCTGCCCAAATTAGTCAATTCGGTCGACCGCCTTCAGGATTAGGTCGACCGAAAAGTCCATGTCACGGTGACATGCATGTCATAGTAGGTATACCCAAAATATTATGGGAAACAAAAACTTGAAAAACTAACTAATTACAATAACATTTTTTTTACTTCTCCATTTCATTTTTGAATTGATCATCATCTACCTTTCTTTATTTTCACATTTGCCTTCTTCCTCCAACACTCCTTATTGTATTATATATGTATTCTAATTTAACGGATTCATAAACAATTCACCATCATAAAATTTAATAATTAAACCATGAACAACTAATCTTTTGTGCTCTGTGCAAAGTCCAATTTTTTAAACAGAGTTCCACTTCTAATTTTTTTTTGTTTCTCTTTAGAGCTTTTCTTTCCTATTCGAGTTAGAATCTTCTACAGTTATCCACAAATTTATATTATATTTTTACATATCAAATAAAGAATCATCACTAACCAATTATCATATTAAAAAAATACAATATCATCGTAAATGCATCATTAAAACAATTAAATATTCGTGGGTAACCACAACAACCGAGAAATTGACCACCTCGCAGCAATTAAAGCGCGATCCATGTCTAGTATATATTGAAAGAAAGAAAATATATGAAAAGTGGTTCACTAATGCATATTAGTTAGCATGAATTTTTATTTTTATGGATCAATTTATTTTAACGAAACGATCACCTACATTAACAAAATGGCCAGCTAGTAGCAGTGGTAACATTTAGCGAACTTTAGTCTAACTGTGTTCTTCATCTTATAGTACTTATGATGTATGCAGCAGTGGTAACATTTAGCGAACTTTAGTCTAACTGTGTTCTTCATCTTATAGTACTTATGATGTATGCAGCAGTGGGAACATTTAACTCACTTTAGTTTAATTTTGTTCTTCGTGACCTTGTTGTTGGGAAAATGGTTATTATTTCTGTAGTCTGCTGATCTTTTTCTGTCGTTTTCGTATGTCACTCTCAGTTTATTTCTCCTTCTTATTTTTTTGTTTTCGGTGGTTCTTTTTCGTTTCCTTGAATTCAGCTAGTAATAGTGTCAGTGATGAGAATTCGATTTTATTTTATTTTTGTTGTCTTAATAGTTTTATTATCGCCCTAACTTAAACATAAAATTATTAGATTGTCCTTCATTCATAAAAATTAAATTCAACAAAACAAAACAAACAAATCTTAAAACTCCTAATACTCCTTCAAAACTGCCGACCTGTTCTGTGAACCGTTTCTGCGTCAGGGTCGGCTATAGATGGCCTCTTCGCTAGTCATTTCTGGGTTTCTCCTAGGTGCTGCCTCTGGAGTTTCCTCTAAAGGGCCTTTTCCTCTCAAGTGCCCTTGTTGATTATGCTATCAGATCACTACTTCATGCTTTCCTTCTTCCTCATAGGCTCATACCTTCATTCAAACAGGAGGCAAGCAAATTGTTCTCAGGAAAAGAGGCAATCATTTTCACCTGGTTTATTATCCTGTGCCCCATTAAATCGGCTTTGGGAGTTGATCTCCAGGTTCTACGAAGCAAACCTTGCTAGTGCAAATGAAAGGATTGACCTTCTAGTAAGACTTTTCAAAGCCCAATTTCACACTTCTACGGTTCTTACTAATCAGTTTCGAGTTTGCTTGCTGAACTAAACCCTTCTTCCCGATATTGACAACCGGAGTCCAGAACTTTCTTCGCCCTCGTCTGGAAACCGGCCAATAAAAGCTAATAAAATATATGTTAACAATAAAAGAGGTAAGGGTAAAAGGGTATTAATAACTTATTTTTAAAGTATTGACATAAATATTGTGTATTTGTGTTGAGTAATAGGCGGACCGCCCCAAACCAAGGGGGCCCACCCGAGTCAAAGACAGTAGCGCCAGAGACACAAGCGGCCTCACTCCCCCTACCATTCCTTTCTTATCTTCTTCTCCTCCCACCCCCACCTCTCGCCCGAGAAACACCCATCCACAGCAGCGGTCTCGCCGTTGCCCCAAACAGCCACGCCCAAGACATAGACGTACGCGCCTCAGACTGAGGCGGCCGCACCTGAGTCCCAAGCGAACACGTCGTCTCCTTTCTTCTTCCCTCAACCTCGACGGACAAGAAGCATATATGATTTTCTCTTTTTGGAGAAGATGTATGACGACGAGGAAGCAGTCGCCGGCAGAGGCAGCGGGACAGGCCTGCGAGGTTGTGGAGGCGGCGGCCGATTTTGTGAAGAAATTCTCGTCGGCGTCGGCCGGAATCTCGCCGGCGACCGCCTGATTCTCGCCAACGGCGGCTTTTTTTTGTTAATTGAATTTTTTTTAGTGATTAATGTTTTTTTCTTGTTTTTTCAGTTCCTAGACTTATGGACAGTTATTCCATGAGACTACCGCCTGTGACAATTGATACAACTCTGGTTGATTTGATTCTTCTTTGGGGACACGATCACCATTGTGTCGACCCAGTTTGGGCAAACGAGGTAAGTATTTCATAACAACTAATTCTTTAAAGTTAATTAGCTAGTTAGATTAGACTAGACTATTATAGGTTTTAACTAGATGAACTGAACTGAAATTAGAATAGAATTACGTATGTAAATTTTTAAAATTAGTATAAGTTTAGATTAGATTGATTTTACTAAGTGAAATTAGAATTACGCATGACATAAAATTGAATTAATATAAGTTATGTGTGTGCATTATAGGATGGTGATCGATCTTACCAGGTTCGAGGTACGACTAATTTAGTCGCGTACCATGAACGTTATCTGACGTATCCCTTAGAGGCGGGCTTGTCTAGTGTTCTGAGCTTGGTCCCTATGAATGTTGATGCAAGTTTGATTAGTGCACTCGTAGAGCGTTCACGACTCGAGACGTCGACCTTCCACTTGTCGTTTGGTGATGTCATCGTAGCGATCGATGGTGATGCCATCATAGTAGACGGTGATGGCGTCATTGTCATACTGAGGGGTGGTCGGAGATTTGTGTGAGACTGTTAGGATGGGTTCCTAATGAACTTTCCGGCGGTGTTGTTAGGATTGTTTGGTTGAGGGATGAATTCCGTCATCTCCCGGAAAATGCATCACATGATACTAAAGAGCAGTTTGCACGAGCTTATGCTCTATCTCTAATGGGAGGTGTACTGTTCGCGGATCGGTTTGGAGTTACGCTGCATCTGCGGTGCCTACTTTTGGTGGAGGATTGGCAGAGAGCTGGACAGTTCGCTTGGGGAGCAACTGTTTTATCCTACCTGTACCGTGAGATGGGTAGGTCGGTTTTGCACATTTTTCATTCCTCCTCTTCCCTAGGAGGTGACCTTGCTGGATGGGTCCCCCCTACTGCAGTTTTGCGGAGGACGCAACCCCACATGGTGCTCGATGGCTTCCGGCCAACACTCGTTAGTACGGTGACTAGTTATTATTCCAGTACAAGTTGTGCTTTCACGAGATGGAGACCATGGTGGTTATAGTATATAACATTTCATTTTATAGAATAGTTTTCATTGGTTTGTTTTAGATTTAGGAGTAATAATGTGACCACTTTTTGTGTGTAGTGGCAATCCTACGTTGAGAGAGCACAGCATCTCAGAGGTAGTGTGATCCAGTCTGAGACGTTTTGGGCAGTAGTTCCACTAATCTCCTTTTCAGCAGTGATTTGGCATCATCCAGACCGCGTGCACCGGCAGTTTGGCATGATGTAGGAAGAGCTTCGTCTGCCACATAGCGAGGCTAAGGTTAGGTTTTTCCTTCGTCAGCTTACACGTGGGCAGCAGTTGGCACACGCCTCCAGAGATTTGATTGCTCTTTGGAACCGTCGACATGAGTTCATAACGAGGATGACATACACTGAGGAGGATTTAGCCTACCACTCGGAGCATATGGAGTGGTATCGAGATGTTACCAGACGTTCCGGTACACGGAGAGGAGCTGTAGTGGAGGCAGGGTTAGTTGTTGGGTGTTTCATATTTTAGTTTGATTTGTTTTTAAATTCGTAGCTGTGTGGAATATTTGACATTTGAAATTTAATTTTCAGTACGACACTGTTATGGGATAATTCAAGTACCACATCAGAAATACAAGGGAAGGAACCCTTGTATATAAGAGTCCACCTAGACCAATTAGTACGAGGCCTTTTGGGGAGGACACCCAAGAGTAAAACCGTGCGGGCTTGGCCCAAAGCGGATAATATTGTACTAATTGAGCACCCCGGTTTGACAAGTGGTATCAGAGCCTGATTCGGAGGATCCAGGGCGGTGGACGTCAGTTTGGTGGGACCCTCATTTGGTGGCCTCGGGATTTGCGATCCGCGTTCGTTTGTCAGATCAAAGAGAGTTCTGCGTCTGGAAAAATCCTTGTAGCGAGAAGCCCATTGATACAAGGTGTCTGGCGGATCAAGATAATCGCTGAGGTGAGGACACGAAGTTCGTGGTCCTTGGCTTGAGGGGAGGATTGTTAAGGGATAATCCAAGTACCACATCAGAAATACAAGGGAAGGAACCCTTGTATATAAGAGTCCACCTAGCCCAATTAGTACGAGGCCTTTTGGGGAGGACACCCAAGAGTAAAACCGTGCGGGCTTGGCCCAAAGCGGACAATATTGTACTAATTGAGCACCTCGGTTTGAGAGACACTATGGATTACACTGAGCTGAGTTTACGTGATGGAGCACGGGCTGAAGGCATGTCAACCGACTAGATGTTGGAGTTGGCAACATGATGGCATCAGCGGTTGCTGTTTAGGTTTGGATAGGCGTCGTCATCCTATTGTTACAGTACCTGTTCAGCGATATACTGATCAGCACAGCATGACCAGCAGGCCAGAGCGTAGAGATTTGACGCCGGACTGGGCCGCACCAGAGTCATAGTTTAGACAGGAGCCGAGGAGGCGTAGACAGCAACGTGAGCATCGCGACGTACCTAACCCTGTAAGGATTTTAGATCGTTAGCGAGCATAGCCCTTCCGACCTACTACGACCTTCCACTTCCAGCCGTAGTTTCAGCCAGGCACTTCTTTTGGATTTCAGACAGGGCCTTCTTTGGGATTTCAACCAGGGTCTTCTTCAACATTTCACGAGTCCTCCCAGCCGCATTTTCACTCAGTTCCTTCTTCAAGCTTTCGGCCACCAGACGATAGCTTCCATACACCGCAGCATGTTACGATGGGAGGCGGATACATGGCATCAGGTAGTGATACTAGAGCAGAAACAAAGGCAGACCTGTGGGGCCATCTAGACGGTGATGCTACTTTTTAGGATACGATGTGGTCTTATGAGCAGCAAATTCAGGCGGGGGCATTTGATGGCGGTACACTATACTAAAGAAATTCAATTTCAATATCTAAATCATAAATCATAAATCATCTAAAAATGCAAATTATTAATGAAATCATATAAAGTCTCACGCATAACCTACACTCTCCTTTTTTTTTAAAAAAAAAAAAAAAGAAGAAAAAACCTACACTCTCCTCCTTCCCTGCGCAAGGCCCACATAATAATTTACCATGTGCACGTCCCAATTAGAATTGGTCCTGTTGAGCTTGAAAACAAAAGCCCATCCCTGTCTGTCTATTTCATTCTCATAGTAATTTTACACATCTTTCAGAAGATGGCCAATGCAGCGAAGAGTTGAATAGTCACCTTCATCTACAACTGCATCCGTAGAACAGAACCAGGGGCGGAGCTAGCCCCTTATTAGGGGTGCAATGGCACACCCTTGATTTGGAGCACCACAAAAAATAGTAGTACTAATAATGAACAATGAACTCAAAATCTTATTGTTAATTCGCATATTTTTAGTATCAAACCATGATTGATTGTATAAATTAATTTAACCTACTAATATCTATATTAATACAGTTTATTAAGATGGTTATGACGTGCGGATTATTAGAGAAAATCAATAACTTTGTACGACAACGATAGTCAGAAGATAAAATTGATTTCTGTAAATGTATTTACTTATGTTTTCTTTTAATGCACCCTTGAATGAAATTCTGCCTACGCCACTGAACAGAACCGAAACATATCAATTCATTTCACGGCAATTAATGGAGATATATACCATTCAAACCTAGCTAGCTAGGTTCCCATGTGGTCATAGAGATTCATACAGCGTAATAAACAAAAGTAATATCAAGGTAACAAATCACATGGATCTGTATCCAGATTTAAAAAATACAGATGCTTTAGTTTTTTTTTTCCTTTCATATAAAAAGTATCCTTTTGAATTATATTACAAATTGAACTTGTACCAGAATTTAAGTGAAAAGCTATTTACCACTAATATATTTATATTATATTATAGAATGAACTTGTACACATAGGCGGAGCCAGTCCTCTTGGGCATTGTCCAGAGACAGGGCTAAATTCTCTGAGTAACAAAAATAGTCCATATATATTTATACTAAGGATGAAATACAACACCCAGTATAACATATTTTGTCACTATATCACAACTCATTTTTTTTGTAATAAAATCGACATTAAATTAATATATTATACTATAAATGAAATTTCAATTGAAATAGAACCCTATTCGATTATTTGTCCAACAATCTTGAAGCAGTCTAGTGGCAGCGCCGATTCCACTAGTTTTGACAGCAAGTGTAGATAAAATATTTTCGGCATTGAGCTACATCAAGAACGAAATTTGAAGTAGAATTCACGAGCAATTTGCTAATGGTTGTTTAGTAAGATCCATTGAAAATAACCTACTTAAAAGTTAAAAGGGTAGACAATAAATGTATTTTGTGTTTCTTTCAGAATATGAAAAGTCGTCATGATTGTTTATGAAGATACCGATTGTATTTGTCATTATTTTTTATATGAAAATAAATTATTCAGATATTATTAATCCAATTATATTTATTAAATATCTATATATTTATAATACGAAAAGATGACAGGGATAGTTTCAAATCCTGCCTCCGCCACTGCTTGTACCTATAGTTTTTTTTCCCAAAATCCATATATATAAATTTCTACATCCGACACATCAAATCTCACTCCCAACAGATCATTGTTGAAGTTGTGGTCGGCGGCTCGCCAACGGCGGATCTAGGAGGGCCACGTCCCAGTCCAGCCAGCTGAATTCTTCGGCGCGAGGATTTCAGCAGATGCGAGGTGAACCCGCGGAAGCAGGTAGATGGCAGCCAGGCCGAGAGGTCACTATAATCATTCACTAGTTATTTATATAAATTATAATTATATATAAATTAAAGGGTCAGGTGTATTCTTGGAGTATATTATACTTCAGGTACTTTTAGCAAGATATCACTACCTAGACCATGAATTTAACCGAGTTTAGGGCATGATACTATACCCTAACCTCTAATGGATAAACCCCATGCCCGATTCGCTAAACTCGAACTTGATGTTCAATTTAATAGAAAATATTAATTTACCGTTGAGATTGGTCGGAGCTCAAAAAATGAGATCTAACGGTCATATCACATGGAGTATGGTATACTCCTGGAATATACCAGTCATTACCATAAATTATAATTAATAATTAGTTAATTATATAAATAAATAGTGAATGATTATATTTAAGTATAAATTTGATTGAATGTGTATATTAAATGGACAATTAGTGGGTGATTATTGAGTGTCTAACTATAATATTGTGTAAATTTGTAGATAATTATATATGGATGCGGAAGAAAGTGACGGAGGTGGAAGTAAAAGATGTACCTAGAAAGAGTGGTTGTTGCCTAGATTCGTTAATAGGCATATGGATCTATCAGCAACGATGAAGAATGTGAAGAAGCGCAGTGCAAATGATATAGTAGTCAGAGCCACTGTCATATGTAGGAGGGGAGGACATCTCATCGTTAGACTATCGTAGTCCTAGTGGAGTTCGACGATATGATTAGAGAGTACGAGATCTAGGGATGAGCAATGGGTGAGTTGGGTATTTGGGCAAAATCCACCCTACCATTGTTATAGTGGATGATGAAAAAAAAAATCTGACCACCAAAAAAATTGCAGCAGATCTGCCAAAACGCTCCACCACCACGAGGTCCAGCTAGTTGAATTCTTCGGCTCGAGGATTTCAGCCTATGTGAGGTGAAGCCGCGGGAGCCAGTAGTTGGCAGCCAAACCGAGAAGTCACTATAATCATTGGATTTTATCCCAGCTTGTTATTTTAAGTAAACTCCCAATTTTGACAACTTTGGGTGGGTTATAATCGGGTGGGTCTATCGGTTGACCCACTCATTGCCCATCCCTAAGGAGATCAATGAGGATCTGGTCCCTCCATTTAGGCATGAATGAAAGGCGTCTTATACAACGTAAATAAGTACCAAAACGCGAAAGCGGCTGCTCCATACTGCATGCTATTTAGAGGGTGACTCACATGGGGACCCAACTCAGTTTTGGCTCGCTACTGTTCGAAGGTCAGTCAATCTTCATGTTGTGGCCCTTCCACAAGAGGCCGAAATATAAGTAGGCAAAAGAGCGCTAAAAACTACTTCTTTACTCGCCTAGGTTTATCTATTAAGGCTATGGTATAGTATCATGCACCAAACTCAATATAATTAATGGTCTAGATAGATATATCTCACTTGGCGTTCCTCGAGCATACTACACTCCAGGAGCATACGAGTTTGAACTATATATATATTCAGGCTAACATACGTCAGGCATACAATGTACGTCAGTCGAGTTTTACTATTTAGAGCACGAATTAATCGGAGTTTGGGG